GACTTCACGGAGTAATTAGTCTACTCACTAATTGCAACTAATATGCATGTGCCAAAAGAAAGCGATGGACGGAAAAGGACTTTTGAAAACTTTGTTGGTGTCATCGTTAGTCGTCCTTGTCGTTGTTGCTTTATTATTGGCACTGCCAATTAAGTGAAATTTATGTGCATCAATAAATTATGAGTGCCGCAGCTGACATATGCGACACAGTTGAAACAAAAGAGGGCGTGGCCAACGCCCCACCCCGAACGGCACAAGCCAAAAACATTGACGCGAAACTTTCGGCCAGAAAGGACAACGGAAATGTGGTTCTGCTGGTGAGCGCGCGACACATGTCGCTAAGGTAAAATAGTTATTAGTAAATATATTCAGCACTTTATTTGCATACCCTGCACCCCCGCAGAAGCACACATTCCGGGTGTAATACACATACGCCGGGTTGTCCGCCAAACAAGCTCGTCTGAGGGTAACTAATGAAACAATTGACGTTCCGGGAGGGCACCGAAAGCCGCTTGATACCCGAACCGAACAGTAGTTGACTGCAATAATTATTCAAGCACCAAGAACAACAGGCAGCAGCCACATCACGACAGGTGCAGGAGCAACATCGACAGGAGCTAAATCCACAGGAGCAACATCGACAGGAGCAACAGCAGTTGCCTGGATGGATGGCTATTATGCGCCCAACTTAACCTGTTTTAGTAATTAATTTGGGTATTGTATGTTTTAATTAGTTTAGAAGGCAAACGGCAAACAGGAGACTGATGACAGTAAATTGAAGGAATATTATGGTGGTTGGGACAAGTTATTGACCTTCTTCGTCAGCTGAAGTGGCTTTAAACTGCAGAATCAAATATGTTTCCTTTTATTATCCAGGAAGCATTGCAGTTTGGTCATTCCTGAACACAAAGTTTAAGTCTTGTGAGAATCGATAGTATTTTACAATGAATTTGTTATAAATACCAACTTTCATTTAATATTTCAAGAGCAATAAATAAGTATTTGGAATGTAATGCGAATATTTGTTGAAGAAGGTGTGTCTTTTATTTAATTTTCGTTTTTGCCATCCAACAAATTAATAATTAATTCTATCATGATATTAAAAAAGAAAATGTATCCGATAGAATTTTAACCGATAGTCAAAGCATAACATGACAATGAGAAATTGACCCCTTATGCAATATTGTATTTATACCGTTGGCTCTAAACACATTTCAAATGCACTCCATGGCAAAGCGAACTCTTCCCTTCAGCCATCGAGTATACACCCCCAACATTACCTGACGTATTCCAGCTAATTACTGGCTCCTGCCGGACTAGTCTCGCCACGACTTCTGCCATCGGGGGCGGCCAAAACATATTTCAAAGTCCGGCTAAATACATTTTTAATTATGATTTTGCGTTAATAATTATGACCTAAGCTAACGGCGGCTACAAAACGAGTTGCAAGTGGATGTCGTGCCGCTGTTGCTGCTGCAGCTCGTAATGGCCTACGATACCCAGCGGAGTCGTCGAATGGCTTAAATTAATAATTACGCGAAAAGGCAAAAGGCGCAGGCCACGAGGCAGCGGCGACTTGCAGGCGTCCTCGCTGTTTGCATGCAAGTGAAAATAATTAATGCACTTAATGTGTAATTATTTCAATTAAACGATACCCTCCTCGCATCGACCCGATCCTGTTTTGCCTAATTGGGTGGGGCTGGGCGGCACTAGGGTCGGCCTAATTGGCATTTCGTTTGCCGATCACTGATAGTCTCCAAATGAGCAGAAGTATCAATCTGCGGATCAGAAACCCGTTCTTGGCGCGACTCAACTTAATTATGCTAATGTCGTTCGAGTGGTTTTGCAGTAAATTTCCATGAATTTATATTGACGGCCAATTGGCTTATGGTCTAATACCGCCAGGCACTTAACCCAGTCACTAATTGTCGCCAAGTGTTAACAAACTGATTACCAGCGTTTCTCAATCATAAGTTGCTGTACACTTTTCATGACTTATGCTCTCCACCTGCAAAATTGGCAGCATAATTTGCCTCATGCCATGTTAATGGCTAATGCTGCGTGTATTTCCCCTTCCTTTGGCTTTCTTAATTCGGTTTAAATTTTTTTTTGTTGCCCGCCTGCAATTATACAGCGATTAGAAAGTTTTCGTCCGCTCGCCGGCTTATTGATGTACGAATGCCTACTAATATTTCTGCATGTGCAAATTCGGACGGAGTTAGCAAGCGGACTAATGGCATATTTATTTATTATGGCCATTTGGGCGAATTACGCTCGCGTGCTCCATCGCTGTCCAACTTCCTCTCCGACTTCCTCGCATTCTCTCGTCGGAGCACCTGGGTCCACCAGGCGCACAGAAGGCACCAGTCGGTCAGTAGCTCCCAGCTCCCAGCTCCCAAATCTCTCAGCTTTCTCCGCCAGAACTGGGACCCCCACGCACACTCGAGCCAAGAAAATTCCGCCTGAGAGCGGTTGACTTTTCGAAATTCCAGAGAAAATACTTCTGGGTGTTGGCGAAAAGAGAAATTGAGAGTAATGCAAGCCAGGAATTTGAAGTGAATGATTTAGAGCAAGAAATGCGAAAAATAGGGTATAGGGTATAAAAGCTTAACAGCATTTTAAAAACAAAATATTAGGAAATACATTTCGTCAATATTATAAGACACTCAATAGTAGTTATGCCGGTTTTAAGTTAAGTTTGAAAACAATTAAATTTTAGAGGCATTTAAACTTTCCAAGTAATAAACAATATTGTGTTTCAACAACACTTTTTTATAATATTTCAAAATGTTTGGCAATAATCTCTTTTATACCCTTGCGGAGGGTTTAACTTCAGTCAAAAGTTTGCACCGCAGTGAAGGAAACATTTTCGACCCAAGAAAGTATTTACATTCTTTTTCAGCATCCGCCTGTCTGCCCTTCTGAAAGTTTCTACGCAAAGTAGACTCTCAGTAAGCTATATGGATAAAACTATACCAAAAGTCGTATTTCTATTAGTCAAAATGTAGGATATAAGTCGGAAAATTATTTTTATTATTATAATAGTCGTATTCTCTATTATTGCTGCAAGGGTATATAAACTTTTGCTTGCTGAAGTTTGCTTCCATTTATTTAATTAATAATAATAACGTTAATTTTTTTTTTTTAGCTATAGAAAATATAAGCTTTTATATAGCTTGTACATACAATGATGTTTGAAAAAGACTAAAAAAGACTTACACTGTTAGGAAAGTTACAGAAACATAAGAAATTAAATACGAAGCATTGCAAGTTTTTAGTGGAGAACAAAACATATTTTCTTTTAATGTTAGAATACACCTTACAATACTCGAAAACAAGGTCCATCCTTGTGTGGAGTGCTCAACAAATATAATATATACATATGTATATATAAAAAAAATTACTATCAAATGCAGAAAGCATAAAACTTATCTCAAATCATAATAATATAATTAGTTGCAGCAGCTCTCGCTCACATACAGCCCTATATCTCAGTGCAAATAATATTTTCCCTACTCCCTTCAGTTGGCCAGAGTACACAATTTGATTATGCCATGTCCAGCAGCTATTTTAGATTTGATTTTTCTGCACGTTTTTCAGTTTTCCCAGCTTGATGTTTTTGTTCGCCGACAAACCCCTTTTTACCCGTTGAGTATTTTTCATATTTTAATTTAAATTAGAGGGCAACACCCACTAAGCCACTCAGTGGATGATGATGACGACGACGATGGCGATGATGGCTGCTGCAGACAGAGGAAAGCTGCTCGTAACTCAGTCAGAAACTCGCTCGGAGCTTAACGCGCTGATGTATGCTAATGAGCCGGCATTGTCGCCGGGTCCGGCTCCTCCTCCTCCTCCTCCTCCTCCTCCCGTCTCCCGATCCTTCTCCGGCCCTAACTCGATTGCCGGGGGAGGAGCTGCAGCCGGAGCGCTTCCATAAATATGCATAATGCAATTAACAGCCAAATGTAATTGCGAGCCAGAACAAGGAGCGAAAAAAGTATAAGAGACTGGCATTAGCAGCTGACAAACCACCCGCATGGCAGTCACTGTCCCGTCCCGTCACATCACATCACATCACATCACGTCACTCGGTGATACATGACAGTCACTCTCCTGCCTTCGCTTTGCATATGCCCGACTTTCCGTCTCTCCGACTTTCCCGGCCTGGCCAACCTGTTCCCTCGCACATTTAATTAGGCTATTAAACAATTGCAGAACGCATGTTGGCTAGGCCCGGGCCTCCAGCCTGTCTCCAACCAGTTTGCGACTCGGCCTGTCCTCGCAGTTCCGCCTCGGATCGAATCGAATTGCCATTGCTTCGAATCTGCCGCGAATCTGTGCCAAATTTCGCATAAGCGCTGCCAACGACTTAAGGCCGAAACGAAAAACCGACAAAACTGAATAACCGTTGCGTGCCTAGGTCCATTCAGCGTATTTGGCTTTTGGCTTTGCCTCTGCCATTGCACTTGGAACAATTTTGGGTGTTTCCAAATGCGGTCCTTAAAGTATAAAGTATAAATGTATTTAGGATCAACGTAATTAGTTTCAGAATGAGATAACTTTGTATCTGGCACTTAAAAATTCAACGCGCTAATGACATTTATATTGGATATATTTCAATTCACTGAAACATGTTCGATAACATTTTTTTTAAAAATGGGTCTTGTTAAGAATTTTAAATTATTGGATTCGCTTAATAAAAATACATATTAATATCTGCAATTTCAGTGATTAATTCTATAAATACAATATTTCTAGTTAGGGCTTTTCAAAACATTTTTGTATTAATATAGTATTAGTTCCGACTTTTAAACTCAAACATAGTTATGGGTATTAGGTATTATTAGGCTCTTAGAGCTTTATTAAACAAACAGTAATTTTTTATAACGTTATTTTATAAATAGTGATTTAATTTAAAAGTTTGTAGTTCATCAGATTTTTTCTCAGCGTGCTCTTGCCTTTTCCTCCAACCATCTGCGGGTATGGCTAACTTAGCTGACTTTACTTGACTTGGCCTGGCTGATTGGGCGCACGTTGTTTTGCATTTCCAGGCCAGAAACGGTGGCTGGGGCTGCGTAATAAAATGCATTTTAATTTGGCTAAATGTTCAATTAAATTTAAACATGCGCAGTCCGCTGTTTGCAATTTTGTGTTGCTGTCGCCGCTGCGTTGAAGTTGAGTTGCAGGAGAAGTGAATGTGTGCGACAGGACCCTCTTCCGATTTTCACCATTTTCTCCTCAGCAGTAGGCTTGCAGCCAAACGCCGGTTGCACAAGTCAATTTTAAAATTTTCGACATACGTAACTGTTTAGCCTTCAAAAAAAAGAATAACAAGATATTCCAAATTCCGATTTTGATAGAAGTTTTGGCAAATGTTTTGGCCCACCCTGATTAGGGGCATCAGCTCCCGCCAGAGCAGCTCATCCAGTTCCAGTAAGCCTCCAAAGCCACCGAATCCGCCCAGTTCGCCAAATCCACCGAAGCCCCCATCCGCAAAAGAGGAACCCAAGGTCCGGACGTTTTGCAAGCCAGCCGCCTTCTGTGCCGAGGCGGATGCGTTCAAGTCGATGTGGGATCCGCCCAAGAACCTGCCTCCGCCGTACCCCTTTGTGGTGACCCGATCCAATGAGTTTTGCTGCGGTCCCAACTGCACCAAGCCGCTGCCCTCGTTCGACGAGCTGTACTACCGACCCTCCAGCAAGGCGGGTCCCTACCAGCGCCACTGGGTGGAGTGTCCCAAATTCATGATCCGGCAGAAGAAGATCTGCGCCTACGACAAGCTGGAGGCCCTAAACCCTGCCCGCCGTGTGGCCAAGCGGCGCGAAAGAACCTCGGCGAGTCCAGCAGCCACAGGACCCTGTCCCCACTTCGCTCCCTTGGCGCGTTGTGTTCCCGGTCGCCGTCCGCCCAGATGCCACGCGGCCAAGACGCCCTCCTGCTGTCGCAGACTCTGTGCACCCATGCCCTGCTGGTCGGAGTGCAAGCAGCCCCCATTAGCCAAGAGACCGCATCGACCTCGCGAATGCGAGTGCACATTCGCCCTCAGCCTGTGCGAAGCGGAGCGGGGTCGTCAGTGGGTCAAGATCCACGGCGAGAACCACATCTGCCCAAGTGCGATCAAAAAAGCCAAGAAGGCGAAGAGAGATAGGCTCAAGAAGGAGAAAGACAGTCTTAAGAAAGAGAAAGACAGTCTTAAAAAAATGGAGAAAGATCGTAGCAAGAAAAAGAAGGACAGTTCCAAGAAAGATGAGGACAAGAAATAAAATATATATTAATTTTTACGTTTTGTATTTATTTTTCTTTTTCTATTTCACTCATTTTTGGACTCTATGGAGTGTGACCTGGTTTTTGTTTTTACCCGATTCTAGATCGTTCAAAGCTTGGTGACATGCGCATCAGGAGACGGGACTCGGGTTCCGTAAATTGGGCAGAAGCTGTGTAACCAGGGTTATCCTGAAGACCCGTCAATGGGTCAGGATCCACGGCAAGAACCACGTCAAAAAAGCCAAGAAGGCTAAGAGAGATAGGCTCAAGAAAGAGAAACCCAGTCTTAAGAGAAAGACAGTCTTAAAAAAAAAGAAGAAAGATAGTCGCAAGAAAAAGGACAGTTCCAAGAAAGACGAGGACAAAAAATAAAATACTATTTAATTTTCACTTCTATTTATTTATATTTATTTTTCTATTTCACTCAGTTTCGGACTCTAGTATGGTGGCCTTGTATTTGTTTTTACCCGTCTCCAGATCGTTCAAAGCTTGCTTCAGAGCCATGCGCATCAGAAAGCGGGACTCGGGCTCCGTAAGTTGGGCAGATACGGTGTAACCTGGGTTATCCATGAGACCCGTGACTGCTAGGGATTCCTGGTTAAATGCCTGATCTTCATTTAAATCGGAATACAGGTTACTACTGGTCTTTTTGGACGGGACTTCGATGGTCTTGAAGGGTCTGTAGGTGTGTATGGGGTCCCTGGGTTGAATGTCTGGCCTGTCATCTGTCTTGGGAGTGCCTTCTGTATTTTTAGAGGGACTGGATTCTTTAGTGTCACTTTCCCCAGTTTCTTGTGCTAGCTCAGTTGTTATTTGCTCTGATGTCTCGACATCCTCGGGCTCAGTGGCAAACAGGGAGCTTTCGATATCCATCGACTCATTGGTTACCAGAGAACTTTCGATATCCTCCGACTCATTGGTTACCAGAGAACTTTCGATATCCTCCGAAACATTGGTTACCAGAGAACTTTCGATATCCTCCGACTCATTGGTTATCACAGAACTTTCAATATCCTTTAACTCATTGGGTATCATAGAACTTTCGATATTCTCCGACTCATTAGGTATCACAGAACTTTTGATATTCTCCGACTTATTGGTTATCACGGAACTCTCTATAACATCCGGCTCAGGTTGATAAGCTACCCCATTGGTTAACTCGAAGCCTATCGGCTGATCTGATTCCTCCTTCTGATCCAGATTCTCATTCATATTGGGTTGGTTGATTTGATCAGATCCTCCCTTCTGATCCAGATCCTCATTCATGTTGAGTTGGTTGACTTGATCTGATCCTTCATGCTCCAAGTTCTCATTTATTTTTGGTTGGTTGAATGCCATAGCAGCCATCTCTGGTCCCGAGTAAACTGCCTCCAGGCATTTCTGATCCTCACCCATTGAATTGTTGAACGAACTGGATTGTTCTGTGTAAAGCGTGTTTAAAAGCAGGGAAATTTGACTTAGCTCTTGCATCATGAAGTCCACATTCTCCCGCACGGAAATAAGGGAGCTCCGTTCGAAGCTGGTAAAGGGTTCTTGGGAGTTTATCTCATTGCTCAGCTGTTCTCGCAGACTTCGCGTTCTTTCAAATTGCAATTCCTCCTGGATCCCGGAATGTTCCTCCTCGGAGAAGTACGGCTGGTGGTCCTCGGCTTCCTGTTCAAGCTGCATGTACGGATCCTCCACCTCACTGGGACTGGGCATACCCGCCAATTGCTCCACGTCCAGTTCGTTATTTTTCCAGCCCCACGAAGCGGTAATGTCGTCATCGCGATCTCCCTTGCACTCTTCCACATGATGCATGTTCTTGTCATTCAGGTCCGGCCACACAAACAGATGACTTGTGTGTTCCAAGCGCTTCGCCTTTTCGACATCCTTCTGCGCACTTTGGGCTTGATCCGTCGGAAGTGTGATAAAAGTCGTGTCGGAATTGTCGGACAGACAGCGGAGCATATATCTCTGAGTTCTGGTGGAGCGGAGGACACTACGAGTGAAACCGCAGAGCATCTGCAGGCGAGACATTTTTAAATTTTGAACGAATCCTAGAAGTGGGTGATCCGAAATTACAGGCGAGTGTTGATAAAGTGAGGTATCTGACCTACACACACTGTCAGTCAGCTGAATCCCAGTTTGCTTAGATTGGTCAAGAAATCCCATCTTCACCAGAAAACCTACTGCCTATGTTCTCTAATGCTATGGGCTCTGTTGGGATATCTGTTACAAAAACTGTTCCAGAGATCCTAGCAGAGATCACAGATGAGAAAACCCTAGCTTAAGATACCAATCTTCATGGGCTGCGGCGACAACAGGGCCAGATGATGTCATGTTTGCTCAAGTGATTGGCACGTCGAAACTGGTCGCAAATGGACGGCTTTGAGAGGCACTCACACTCGGGCGGACGGCTTGGGATCTCGGCAGGATCCTCTTGGAGACATTCGGAATAACTCGGGAATGGGCACTTGATCTTCTCGCAGTCGGAAGGCGGAGGGTACGCCGTGCAGTCGGGTGGATTTCGGGCTGTTCGACAGCACGGCATGCGGAAGCGCGTGCAGCCTTTGGACTTCTCGTTCAGGCACTTGTAGCGCTTCTTATCGTGATCCTGGAGACAAGCGGTTCGCGGGCAGAGGGGCAGGTTCCGGCGCAGGACCTGCGGCGGTATGGCGTCGCACCAGCAGCACACCCGCCTCGGGACCATCCGCGGACAGCACTCCCACCAGGTGCGCTGGTATTCCCGGCATTTGTCCGAGGGTTTGTAGTAGAGCACGTCGAAGCGGACGTCCCCGCACGGCGGACAGCACTCCTCCGGATAGTGCCACAAGGTCTCGGGGCGGTCGTACCTCTTGTCCTTGTAGTCCCCCCACATGGAGACGAAGGGCTGGCGGACTTTCCTGGACCCGGACTTTTGGCTGGACTCGCTGCACGGATTTCCTGCGATTCTGGTGTTCACGCAACATGGGTACCTAGGATGCGAGCAGTCCTCCTCGCTGCAAGGACGAACAGGCGGATCCGTGGGACTGCACGGCCGCTTATTAACGACCTTGCAGTCGGGCACCGGACTCTCAGGACATAATCTCATGTCCTTTTTCGCCAACAGAGCGGTGAGGTGGAAAGTCCGACGGAACTTACTGAGCCCCGGAGCACTGGGCATCCACACAATCCTCTTGGCCAAAAAGCTGAGCATGGCTGACGAATTTAAATTTGAGTTCCTTTTCTAAGAGGAAATGTTTGTCCGAAAAATATGCCAAATATGAGGTTTAGAGTTGAATGTAGGGTATATTTTTCAGACTTATAATATAATATGACGTCAGTAGGTCCTAATGAAGAGTGTTTGGTGTTTTACCACCGTTCATAAAGTATGTCCTATTTGCTGGCCTCAAATTCATTAACGTTTCTAAAATCTGGCAATATAAAAAGTAGCAGTTAAATTATTTGTTACATCTTTCCCAGGTATGTCGGCAAAACTCCGCAGTCCAAGTCTTTTAAGAGATTACTGCGGAACCCTCTAAAAAGAAAACGAAAATTTCTTAACACGATACATCTTTAATACGACTAATTGTGGAGAGCCTTGGACACTTGTTGTCAATCGCAGTCGCAACTCAGAAACAACACTGTAAATCAAGTGTTGTAGTTGAGCTGCGGATGAGTTTGGCAACAGGAGCGAAGACCATCCTTTTGTGTACGGTTAATAGCAGTCCCGATACAGTTTTTGGCGATCGAAGGCAAGGGGATGTTGGGTAAAGGACTTTCTGGGCATACTTCGGCAACTGTGGCCCTGGAAAATGCTGGAAAATGGGGCTGTGTACCTTCCAGCCCCCAGTTGCTTCCAATTTCCTGGTGCCCCCAAATTGTTGGGGAATGTCGATTGATTTCTTGTGAAGCTCAGTCGCGGTTCGGTCTTCGCCAGCAGGCGCTCCTTAGCCTTGGTGCACAGTTCATCCATGGCCTCCCGCTGGAATCTCTGGCCGATGCTCGTGATGCTGCCCATCGGCTGCCACTTATTGGTGGGCTGTGGTTGGGAAGATCCCTGGGAGGGACCTGGCTTCAAGTAGGCCATGGTGGCTTCGGTCCGCGGCAAGGGACTCATCACTGATGACTGGTTCCGCACCACCGGCGGCTGGGTGCGGGAGTAGCGGACTAGGAGCTTGGTCAGGCGCTCGGCGCACATGGTGGCCAAAACGGAGGTGGCCATGTCAGATCCTCTCCAGTTATCGCTGGCCTTTCAGCTCTTCGGTTCCCCTGTGTGAGTGCGGTCTGCGTGGGAGCTCTGTTTGGGTATGTCTAAATGAAAACGTTCGATTTGGAAGCCTGTTGCTTGATTAAAAATGAGACACACCGAAATGAACGATTCATTGTTTGGATGAAGCCAAAGGCAAGGCCATCTAGATGTGGAACAAATTATAGTTTTAAATCCATGGTCAAGACTAAACTAATTTCGGCTTAGCTTTAATTTATTAATCTTTATTACTGGTGCTTAATGTTCTCTACAAATTAATTCACGCCACATTGAAACAGTTGTTACTATTTATTGATTTCCTATGTCTTTTGTGATTATCATTTAGAGATGTGAAGATCGAAGTCCTGACTTTTTGAGCAAACCAATGGCGGCAAGTGATTGGAAGCTTGCATGCATGGTATTGTTCAAAAAGGCAGAGCCTCGACTGCATTTCTTCAAAGTTTCGGCCTAGATTGTCACTTGAGGTTTCCCCTATCCCGCTTCATTCTCTCTTGAAGAGCCACACATTGGGGCACGGTATCCAGGCAGTGGCACTCGATTCTCCGGCGCGGTCTGGCCCACCTTCCCACCTCGGAGTACGATGGAAACGGAGCGCGCAGCTTGGTGCACTTGGTGGGACCTCTGCGATAGCGACAGTGGGGATCGCAGCGGGCCGGCTTGCAGCAGGGCCAATATAATCTCGAGCACTGGCCCGTCGGATCCCGCTCCAAGTCGTCCTTCTTGCAAATGAGCATTGGACATATGTTGGGTTTTTCGCAAGCCTCCCAGCAGGGATCCTTGATGCGGTATCGAACCTCGGGCGGATTGATGCTGTCCAGACAGCACACCTTCTTCAGGCGTTGCTTAACGGGAGGACATTCCACCCAGGTGCGCTGGTAGCACCGGCACTTGTTCGACGGATGGTAGTAGATGGCATCGAAGCGGGGCAGCTTGTCCTTGCAGAACGGCTGCTCGTCTGTCTGGCACGGTGGCTCCCACATCGAGCGGAACGGCTTCTGCGGCTGCTTGGCTACTTTGGGTCGCTTCATGACCGCGCAGGGGTTTTTCGCCGCCGATCGCAGGACACAGCACTTCGTCTCCACCTCCAGCTCCTGCGACTGCTCCAGAAATTTCTCACGAGGTAGTTCCTTAGTCAGCACTTCCTTGGCCCTTTGGCATTTGCCGTCTGGAACATGATGGCACTCGGGGTCAACGGGATGGCATACCGAGTCCGGAAAGGTGGGCACTTTGCAGGAGTAGCTCCTGCAAGCCTGCCGCCAAATGGTGCGGAGTACTGACTGTATCCTCATAATTTTGGGGAAATTTCGATTAGGCCTCCTAATTTTTCGAAATTGTTCTACATTTCAGTGGGGAACTGTTGACTAGGAAGGCTGCGGAACCTTGGTCATATCAATAAAATAGTACCTTGGAAAATCTATAGATGGTGGTTCAAAGTGAGGTTTGCTCAACTGAAGATTGTCCAGTTTGACGGAATGAAGTTCTTTGAGGGGGAATCTGTTCCTGGGCAGGAAATTCAATAAAGGAACAAGTGATGGCTAAATGGGTCAAGAACACAATCAGAAATCAAGCTAGAATTTCTAGTAAGCTATAAGTGGACAATCTTAGAACGGAAAGAGCATCCGAGATCTGTGGGGAGAGTATCCGATCAGGGGCTTGGTGCAGATCCTGCGCGACTTGTTCCGCCGATGGTACGTGTTCCACATTTCGCAGAGGCCGGGAACCGCCTGACAGGCGCATTCGGTGCGGCAGAAGCGCGGTATTAGGTGGCGACACGCCTCCGAGAAACTGGGCAAGGGTGCCTCCTGCTTGCAGCAGTCATGGGGCTGCCTAGCCACGTGGCACTTGGGCGGGCGGCGGCCCAACTTGCAGCCGGGAGGCCTGAGGACCGACCTGCAGAACACGCTCATCTCGAACAGGTGCTTGTCGATGGCCGAGAGCGGCGGCTCCTGCGGCGGACGGATGCGGCGCTTCATGGGCGGATAGGTCTCCGGATCGGGGCAGCAGGTGTCCTTGGGACGCAGCCAGAGGAGCGGGCACTCGGGCCAAGTGCGCTGGTACTGGCGATGCTTATCCGAGGGCCTGTAGTGCTCGGTGTCGTGTCGGATCACCTTGAGCCAGCATTCGGGATCGGGCTTGCCGCGCTGATAGATCTCCTCTAGGTACTTGGGGTACTGGTTCCTGCTGAAGGAAGGTCTCTCGTAGCACTCGTTGCGCTCATATTTGGCCGGGCAGATCGAGTGGGCCTTAAAGCAGGCGGTGGTCTTCTTGTCGCGCATCCGGCAGCACTCGCCGGAGCTGGCATCGTAGTTGCCCCAGTTGTACCAGCGGCTATTGGCCAGGAACCTTTGAATCGGGGCTCGGCGCAGGCGCAGCTTTGACGCCATCATGACAAGGCCTGGGTTTCCTTGAATACCGAATTTAGAGAGGCGTAAAAGGCCGAAAAGGGGCGATCCAAAATTTGAATTTCAAACTGAAACCTGCAAAAATCTGACACACCAGCCAAAGGACTCCAAGTCCGTCGAGCACAATTGCACAACTTCAGGACATGGCAATGAACAAGCAAATAAATATCTTTTAATCCGTCAATTGGTGACAGTCAATGCCTCTAAGCGCGTTTTGTAATTTTGTATACTGCATACTTTTTTGTCGTTTTTTTTATATTTCTTATTTAGTTTAATACAATTGACTTGTTATTCATTGAATGATTTCCCAAAGGAATCTTGTCAGTTACGTAAGTGGGTGCATTTATCCCTTACTCAACCAGACACAGGTCCTGAAAAGGGAAAAACATCTCAAAATAATATCCCCTCTCAATGGTTGCATTGTTCCCCCTCTAGTGACTATTAAGCAAAATTATGTATCCTCTAATGTAGTTTATTCGAATCTGGGGATTGGCAAAAGGTTACTGCGGGCAACTAAGACTTCTTCATGCGGTAGTAGTTCCACACCACGCACATGGGCGGCTGGTTGATGCAGAAGCAATGGCTGGGCGGCAGGTCGGGCAGCGGGTCGACCTTGCACTCCGAGTAGCTGGGGTATTTCGTCCGGCGTCGAATGCAGCCGGAGTGGGGTCGTCCTGGACGGCAGCCGACCGAGCTGGCCTCCTTGCAGAAGGGCAGCTTGAACCTGGGGCAGGAGCCCTCCTCCTTCTTCGGGCGACACTGCCCCAGCCCCAGGCTCTCGCTGCCATCGGGGCACACCTTGGACGCCTTGAGCGGTGGCGTGCGGCGGGCTCGTCGCAGGAAGTTCACCGGACGGCAGCGGCAGACGGCCTTCCTCTTCCGCTCCTTCAGCTCGCACTCGCACCAGGTCCGCTGGTACCGGCGGGCCAGCTTGTCGGAGGGCTTGTAGAGCGTGAGGTCCGTCGGCGGATAGGAGGTCGCGCAGGGATCGCCAATGCATTTGTTCTGAGCGTCTATGAAGGCGGGCACGTTGAACTCGGGGTCGGAGCGACACTTGAACTCGGAGCGCCGCATTGCTATCCAGCAGATGTCCTTGAGCGGCACCTTGGTCCTGTCCTTCGGCTCATTCTTCTTAAGGTCCGTTCGCTGGCCGGGCATCCTGGGCATGCCATCCTCGTACGGATCGAACAGCGTCTCCATGCCGCGAATATGGTTAGTCCTCGAAGTCAAACCACTTCTCATCGCGGCCGGAGCTCGGAAAAGCGTCTTCTTCACCAGCAACATGCCGATCTAATGAAATCTTATATCGATTGGGTTGCAAAGGTGTCGTATAGTATACACTGAACAAATTTAGTCTTCAGTTAAAATAAAAAAAAAAAATTGTGATTCACTGTGGAATTTTCATAATGTGGTCGGCAAATGTGTTTTAAGGTGTATAAGTCATTTGACTAGTCTTCCCTTTGAAGTAAATAACAAGGATGACTGAGATCGGTTCGAATGTCTCACAATGTCTACACATGTCTATTCTTAGCTTAGGTCTATTAAGAGCTATAAATTTAATAATCCATAATAATCAATCCCGGCAGACTTATGGATTCTTGGCCGTGACAGACACAGTCGTCTTCTATAACAACACATCCTGATTAGCTTTTGACCGGCTATGACCACACCTGATTTGCCCAAGAATGCAGCACCCGCTATCCCCTTTTTTTTCGAAAACAAGGTCCATCGTTGTGTGGCGTGTTCAACAAAAAAAAAAAATAATCAATAATAAATTCTAATAATCCATTAGACTAAAAGTATATACAAAATTTATAAATTGTTTAGTAGGCTTGTTTCAGGCGAGTATCAGGAAAAACGTATTATTTCTTTTTTTTATTTTGTGTTTGTGAACAACGACTAATTTTTAAAGATCCAATTAAAATTTAACAATTAATTAGCACGAGTATTGTAAATCCACAAAAATTCAAGAGAGGCCTCGCCGTTAACAAGAATTTGACTAGGTATTTCAGGCCAATTGGTATCCTTCGCACGCCATGCGATCGGCAGCGATTTCGAGGTTACGCATCCGGTTTTTCTTCTGGGTGGAGATGAACTGAGAAATGAACTTGCTAGCGGGAATAGCGATCCTCTGGAGACGTCTCGAGGGATCGAAGGATCGCCGGGGCACAGGGACTGGTGCTTGTTCCTCCCTGTATCGCGTTTCACTCACTTCCTCCTGCGGTTCCTCCTCCACGGCCATCGGTTCCCGCCAGGTTGCCTGATATTCACGTTCCTTCCAGAGTCCCGGGTTGTATTTGGTATCATCCAAGCGCTCTTCCGGCCCCTCCACCTCCTGTTCCGCCCACGTCCTTCTGTAGACACGTCCTTGTCCAGATCCTGGCCTGTAGTATTTATCATCTAGTCGGAACTGCTTCATTCCGCGACACTTCACCAAGTTGCTAAATCCAAAGGCCGCCATCCTGCTGCTCACCAAAGCTTTTGACGAATTCATTTTTGCACAGTCTTAAATTTAGATTTTTTCCAATACAAACTAAAAATTCCAAAAGAAAAATAAAATTAATGAGGAGTAAAAACCAAATGAAAACGTGTTGTTATACCCAAATGCCAAATGTGAGAATGAACTAAATGAGGAAATCATGTTGAAACACAGAATTGGAAGAAAATTCTATGGTCACTTGATCCTACATTTTTATTTGGTTAAGATTTGATTTCTTTCTGTTGCCCTTAGCATATAAGTCCGATAGGAACAAACAAAAAAACGTGAAACAAAATCGTAACATCGTTGTTCCCTAACATATATCCATTTATTCAATATATATTTTGTTCTTCAGCAATTTTAGAAATACGATTAGTTTTATAAAAACCATGGTACCAATAATAGTTTTGTTTGTTTCCTTTTTATTGTTTTTAAAATAAATATAATTTGAATTCCCATTAACTGCTTTAACCATTACCACATACACCCTCCCCCAAAGGATAATCATAATTTAAAACATATTGCATTATTTTATTATTTTTTTGTGTTACTTCACGTCGGATAAAAGTCGGACTTGGATTAAGCTTCGAAATAGGTGCCCAGATAAACGCGATGGGTTTGCAATGGAATAAACACCCAGCCTTCCAGCGCCACCAACGGACACAGTCCACAACGTGTAGAGTCTTCAGTCTGGGGTACGAAAGTGTGGAAGTGTGGACGGGGCGTACTTCCAAAACATCCTCGGAGCTCCTTCGGTCGATGGTTCAAGGGTCAGCACTTGTCGAAGTCCCAGCAATCGCACTCCTTGGAGGGCTTAGGATCAGTCGGTTTCCGCTTGCACTCCGAGTAACTGGGAAAGGGTGTCGGCACCTTGGAGCAGCTTTTTTTTTTCGCGGAGCGCTTGCAACTGGGCTCCGGTCTGGATGATTTGCACTTGGAGTCAGAGGTGCCGCCCTTGGAGCCGAGACTGCTGGCCAATCGGGCGGCAAGTGGCTTTAGGTTTCTGCCCAGGAATTTCCCGCAGCTTTCCGGCAGCATTTTTGAATTTCGGAGGTGGGGATCGAGAGAGGGTTGAGATGGTATCGTTAGAATATTTTTGAGAAATGTAAATTAAAATCATTGTAATCAGAAATTTGGTCACTTGTCGTTTGACGGATCTTCCGTCGCCGCCTACAACTCGCCGCACTTCAGGACCGCCCCCTTGCCCCGGGCGATCCTCCTCCGCAGCTCCGCCCACATCTCGCAGGCCATGGGCACCTGCAGGCACAGGCATTCGGTTGGAGGTGCCTTCGTGAGCTCCTCCTTCTTGCACTCCGAGAAGCTGGGATATGGCGCCGGGCGCTTCTTGCAGTCGGATAGGCGGCGCACTCGGTGGCAGCTGGGCGGGATGCGGCTCGGCTTGCAGCAGGGCAGGGTCCAATGCGGGCAGGTGGACTCTTCCTCCGGCTTCTTGCACTCCATGGGGTTCAGCATGGGCATCGAGGGCCGGGCGGTGGCCGCGACCGCCTTTCGGACGCGGCGGCAGGGCTTAGGGCGCGGGCGCTTCGTGTGGATGCACACCTTCTTGGGCTTTATGACCAGGCGGGGGCACTCGTTCCAGGTCACCTGGTACTGGCGGGCCTCCTTGTCCGAGATTCGGTAGTGCTGGATGTCGAGGCGCACCGGCACTTCGCACTTCGGTTCGTATTCGCAGCCGGGAATGTACCACATGGACCTGAGCGCGGACGGCTTCTTCGGCTTGTTGGCCTTCTCTTTGGGCTCGGCATTCTTCTTGGGCCTGCCCTTCACCGCGTCGCAGATGGTGCCTTTGAAGTGGGGAGGACCACAGCCCTTGGAGGCCGAGACCTTCTCGGTGAAGGCACTCCTTGGGCGCCCCGCAGTCGTCTTCGGCCGCCTTGCTGCTATAGTTGCGGCGCACCAGGTGCTGGCGGAGCACACTGGAGCCGCTCTCGGGCGCGCTCAACCGCGGCAGACCCTTGGACCAATCGCCCTTGAACTGGAAACAAACATTCATCAAAGACTCCAGGCACGGCATGCCACGATCCACGAGTGAACGACACTTCTGACGCAACGCTCGCAACATTCTGAACTTTTTAACCAAATTTTGTTTTTTAATGCCGAAATAAGCCAAGATTATGTTTTGTTAGGCCGAGGACTGAATGTAGACTAACTGAGACACTACATCGAAAGCCCTAAGTGGGCGTTCAAGGCCAACTTCATTTCGATTTTGGAGTGAATGCTTGTAACGTCCTTAGGATACAATTTCAAACCATTTTCGCATCATTAAAATATTAAAACCTTACTGCTAGGGTATTTCACAACAGATGTTCTTAGCTACCCAAAATTTTCCGTAGTGAATTTTCCAATACTTCACCCTCGAATTGAATTATTTTTATGTTTTTGGTTAGGTACTTTTTACACCCTTGCAGAGGGTATTATAATTTCAGTCAAAAGTTTGCAACGCAGTGAAGGAGACATTTCCGACTCTATAAAGTATATATATTCTCGATCAGCATCACCAGGAGAGTCCGTTTCTACGCAAACTAGTCCCTCAGTTTTAAACTATCAGCAAACTTTCCCAAAAGTTGTCTTTTTATTGCAGGTATATAAATCGGAACGAGCCGGATCGGGAGACTATATCATATATCTCCCATAGGAACAATCGGAAAAAAAATTCAAAAAAATTAAAACTTTGTTGTTTTTAATTTTTTTTTTTCTTTGGGATTAGCTAATATTTAAATATTATGGAGTTACGGTTTTAATTAAATTAAAATCATACAGCAATATCATATAGCTACCATAGAAACGATGGTCAAATGCAGCGCAAAATCGACATAGCTTCATTGCTTTTAGTAATATAGGGATAAAAATCGAAATGTAGTCGTTTTGTAATAACTGCAAGGGTATTTAAACTTCGGCTGGCCGAAGTTTGCTTCCTTTCTTGTTATAACTATGAGTAACCCATAAACTACTGAAATTAGACTCCCTGATTTGAATTCATTGTGAGTAATGCAATACTGCCATTTTACACTTCACTTTTTAATGAATAATAAATATTGGCAACTCTGGCTTTAAGCCGCCAATAGGTTTTCGAATATAGATGAAAAAATTTTATTTGAAAGCAGGCCTTGAACTAAGCTTCAAAGTTATATAGCCATGTTGATTTGGTTAAGAGCTCAGTTCCTCTCGGCCTTTTCCAAATTGCACATCGGCTCAGTCGAGCTGACTGTGTTTTCGGTTTAAAATTTATAGTTTGGAAAGTTCTCGGTTCCGGGGGGTGTTTTTCGGTTTCGGAATTGCTGTTCTTTAACTCCTTTCCTTGTTGGGTCCAATTTATTTCGAGGGTATTTTTGTCAGCCTCTTAAGCCAAGTATGTCTATGTTGCGCAGTGTAGCGACGAGGACTCGGAGCCACCTGCTGCCTCAATTGAAGGGCGCGGTCAGCCATCGAGGCTACGCCGAGGACCACAATCCATCGCCCAAGTGCGGCGCAGACACTGGGAAGGGATGCGGAAAGTTCACTGGCTGCGGTGATCCCCGATTCGAGAAGAAACCGCCGCCAAAGCAGGAGGACACCTTCCAGTTCCATCACCTGGTCAAGCAGCCGCCGGAGTGCTGCGACGATCCCTGCTTTGACCGATTCCCTCCCTACGACGAGTGCTACTACAAGATCTCCGACAAGGCCAAGCGCAAGTACCAGGTCACCTGGGTGGAGTGTCCGCCCATCCAGATAAAGCCCAAGAAGATCTGTTGCTTCGAGAAGGCCACCCGTCCGCCGATCCCGCGGCGCAAGCGCAAGGAGTTCGTGGCGGCCGTGGAGTGTCCCACGGAGAACGTGTGCCCGGTGGCCGAGGGCCTGTGTCCCAAGATCAGGTTGCCCGGCTGCAAGGCCGTGGAAAAGGTATCCTGCCACATTGTAAGGCGGATTACGGACTGCACCAAGGTCAAGGCCCCGTATCCCTCCTTCTCGGAGTGCTCTCGCCCGCCGATGCGCAAGACCCGGGGCATCGAGTGCCACTGCCTGGAGGTTCCAAGCGCCTGCGACCTCATCCGTGAGACCATGAGGACCGAAGGAAATCCCCGCAAAGGAAACTGCGGCGGCAGCAGGGGCTAGCCTCATAGGTCTCGTCCGACTCCACGCATTTTGAAACCATATTCAGCACCCATTACCTTGTTCCGAAACCGATCCTGTTAAATTCTTTTAACATGTGTGAAATTCCAACTATTAATAGACCGAAACGCCGTTA